ATTTTGTATGAAATGTATTCTTCTTGCCACTGACTATCCGAATCTAACTGAACTTAAAATTTTTTATTTCAAACAAATATTCGTTTTAGATTATCTTACAAGTAAGCATTTTATATGAATTTGATTAGTTGACAAATAATAAAAGTGCTAAATAGAATAGACTAGAATATGTTTCATTTCATTGTTTTCTCCTTTAGATGAGCCATCACTTCGATCTATTTTCCAAGAACAAATTACAAACCTTACTCTTATCAATGATGATGAAGACGAAATGATAGATTCATTGGAAGATTATACTACAAACGTATATAGTCACATCTTGACCTTCTTCAAAAATTTAAAAGAATTAAGTATTATGGGACCATATGCTATATCAATGTATCCAGGTTTATCACTTTGTTATTTGCCATCGACTACTTTTTCATCTTCGATTCTTACTCATTTATATATCAATGTGGAAACTTTTGATGATTGTCTTTATTTACTTGATGGTCGACTTAGAAAATTGACAACATTGTGTGTTAATATCTATTCTATAGACGAGTATTCAGAAATTGTTCACAATATGGTAAGTTTTTACAAATAATTTTATTTGTGACATGAAGATTATTACTATTTTAATGCAGTTAACCATTGATCTCAAAAAATTCAAATAAGAGATCGAATGGTTAAGTTTCATGTTGACAAGGGAGAAAAACTGATAAGTTTTGATGAACATAACCGATGAACATATCAAAATCATTGACATTAAATTTGTACTTACTAGAAATTTGAATTTAATAAAAGAATCAATAAAATTTGTTGCTAGAAATTATAATTATATAATATTTTATCGGATAAGTTTTACATTGAAAACTAGACTGCTCTGTTTCATGATTGATTAAATATTATCATATGTGAATGATCATCAGCATAGAATGAAACGAAAGTTTTTCTATAATAACAATTTTTCCAATAATTGAGATATGATTGGAAGTTTGTCTGAAACTTTAATTGTTCTTTGAACACTCGTTTATTATGCTGTAAAATGGGAAAATCAAACTAATAGATTTGTCATTTGTGGTCATTCACAGATAGAATATAGATCATACATCATGTCTAAAATAATGATGCCTATCATTTTATCTTGTAGATCGTCAAAAAAACATTTCTTTCTTTTTGTAGGATAAATTATTTAATCTAAAATGTTTCTCATTAAAATCGTTCTGTCGATTTAAACAATATGATAAAATTGTATCACTTATTCGTCGTATGTCAAATCTGGAAAAATTAACTTTATATCTTCCCATAAAAGGTCGAAATAGAGTTATTGATGGTACTTATGTTCGGCATGATATTTTGGATTATATGCCACAACTTCATTCATTCACTTTCTATATATGTACTTATCTGAAAACGATTCATTTATTCTACAAGTCATCTAGTGAAGATATTCAACAAACATTAACAAATATTGGACAAGAACATGTCACGAGTATAGTCAATTATATTCAAGGTGGAATATAGCTGCATGCTCGATTTTCTCACATCCTTTTGAATTTGATTATCTCAAACATGTTGGCAATAAATTTCCAAATATTGTATTCAGTTATGTTGCATGTTTACTTGTAGAAGATACTAATCCATTCAAACATGAATTCTTCATTCGAATTGCCCGATCGTTTCCATTACTGAAGCATTTACGTATTTATAATAGAGAATCACAAGTATTAGATGGTCTTATTACATTTTCATCTGACAATTGTCAATTACACCCAATTATTGAATACTTTCATCTGACTAGACTCGATGTGAGATATGCACATAGAGATTATGTTGAACAATTTCTAAATGAAACAAAGGCATTCATACCTTGTCTGACGGAATTTGTAGTCAATGTTGATGATTTAAAGGCTGTAACAAAACGTTTTACAAGAGAAGAAACACGACGCAATTGTGCTAAGGTGAAACGAATAAAGACGCTAGGATTATTGTTTCATTCGAAAGAAGTTGTTCTTTATTTTCCTTCGTTGAATAAATAGATGTATTCTCGTTTTGATTTATTCAAAAAACTGAAAAACATGATAAATATTGTATTTATAGGTTAATGATACTTCTCAAATATAATGAAATATCAACTATGAATGATCGTTTTCTTATTTTATAAAAAAAACACACAACATTTTGTGATGCTGCAGAGCAGAGACCGTCATCAGGTCAGGGCTGCCCTGTTGCCCTGATGCCCTGTACTTCAGGGCAAACTTCTTTTTTTGCCCTGTCCTGTTTGCCCTGCAGGGCGACCGAAGAAAAGTACAGGGCAGGACAGGGCAAATTTTTTTTGCCCTGTTAATTTTTCACATAAGTTTATTTGAAAGCCTTTTTTGAAGCTAGATGGAATCTTTCAAAACATCTGTTATCGATGAAATTCCATCAACTTCCATCAACCAGTGATGAACCTGTCTTTCCAATTGGTTTCATCAGAACTAATGGATTCGATACTCATTCTGATTTATCATTGTACAATACAGTTCTCCCCACTTCAGAAGAGTTTAACCACGGTTATCACATCAAAAGTATTTATAACAAATAGAAAATAAATAGCAACCTCTTAGTAAGTAGCGATGAAAATCTGCAAATCGATAAAATGATAGCGTTCAGTCAATCACAATCTCTGTGTTCATTGATAAATATCTTATTTTTCTGCAGTTATCCTGGTTATTCTTTGGATCCGTACAAAAGAAGTGAAGATACTGAATTAAAGTCAGTTATTTTTTTTTTACAAAGAATAAACTCAAATGACATCATTTTTGCTCGATTATCGTGTAACTTTTGATCAATTATTTCGTTTTCTTTCACTGAAAAGATTTTAAAATTTTTTCTCATTAATCAAAAATATTTATCAATTTTTATTTTTTTAAATTAGTTATTCAATCTTAATCGACTAGAAAATTTTGAAAATAATCTTGACGATTTAAAAAGACTAACATAGCATTTCAGCAGGATTATAATTATATAAAAACAGTATCGTTTTCATAGAATTTAAACGAACTTTTGATTGTTTCTACGCATGGATAATATTCTGTTGAAATGACTTAAACAAGACATATATAATGAACACAAAACCCATTAGATTTATTCATCATGTTATAAATTCATCCTATAGTTGAGATTCAATTTAAATGCCCTCAGGGCGTCCTGCCCTGTACTGCCCTGCCCTGAGGGCAGGGCAGGGCAAAAAATATTTTATGTTTTATCGTCCAGGGCAGGGCAGGGCAGGGCAGGGCACAAAAAAAGTGCCCTGTGACGGTCTCTGCTGCAGAGTTATAGGTAAAATGAAAATGCTCCTTTTGCAATTGTTTGATGACATACAAAAAGAGTTGATTTCATTTTAAATGTAAAAATAGTCCTTACTTTTTCAATCTAACTCAAATTGAAGAATGAATGAACATTAATTTCTGATTGCATTTGATCTAAAGTTCAAAATAGTTTCAATAATTTATATTGAATTAAATCTTTGATAATTTGTGAATAGACTTCTGATGTCTAACTCATGTTTTATTTTGTTCTAAATGTAATATTGTGTGTTATAAGAAGCACGATCCATGAGAAATATTTTGTTTGACAAGAGAATAAGACGATGATCGATGCATCATCACTAAGAAATTATAGCAGAAATTATTAGAGAAAAAGAAAAATACCTTCATATATTCGGTGGACAAACAGATTGAACTAATTCAAAATGAATTAAGAAACATAATTGACACTTTTCTGCCTAACAATGCCAATTTCTTTGGTTAGTTCACTTGAAATTAGTCTTGTCTGTTTGTTACTTTGATCATAGAACAATATGATGACATCGATATTTATTCGTCATTGTTTTGGTAGACACGGCAATGAGAAAATACATATAGATTGACATGAATACATTGTATGAATTAGACATGAACAATTTAAATAACAATTATCTCAATATACTCGATATACAGGATGAAATTTTATCTATCATTTTTCATAACCTCAATACGGGTGATGTTCTTATATGCCGTTGTGGATGTCAACCAACGATTTGATCGATTAGCACTTGATTCTCTTTATATTCGTGATCTTGATATAACTATTATTATGGCTATCAATTCATTGTACAATCATAGTTCTTTAGTAGATAATGAAGTTTTTTTTTTTAATATTTATTTGAAAAATACAAAAAAAAATAACAAAAAAAAAATGTCCATTATTCTGTTGAAACATCTTGAAAATGTTTTGGTAATGTTTCAGCAAATATTTCATATTGATGTATATCATTGGCATTTACTGAACGTCGTGCCAAATCAATAGCTTTTGTAAAATGATTACGACGTATTTCAAGTACAGGAGTTGGTTTATCATTGCCCGTTGTTGTTTGTCTAATACGTCGTTGTTCTTTTTTAGTTGATTCTCGTTTAGCAAATTTGTATGCACGTTGACAAAATTCTGTTAACATGGCGCCACTAAAACCTGTTGTTTCACTTGCTAACATAATTGAATCACTATAATTTAGTGCTGCTGATTGTCTTAATACACCCATAATTATAGGCTCTAGGACAACTGATCATGGGATAACTTATCACGGACAACTGATCATGATGACCACTGATCATAAGGAACAACTGATCTTGAACAGTTGATCATAAAAAGGGTGGGGTGTGGGTGTTGGCGTGGGTGTGAGTGGGTGCGGGTGTGGGTGGGTGTGTGGTGGGTGCGAGTGTGGGGTGTGGGTTTTAAAAATAAGAAATAAATTCACACCCACACCCACCCACCCACATTCACACCCAGACCCACACCCACACCTACACTCCCACCTACACCTACTCCCACACCCACCCACACTCACCCACACCACCTCACACGCCCATACCCACACACCCACCCTAAACGATAACAATAATCTCATGACCCTTCATGATCAATTTTCCTTTATGATCAGTTATTCATGATCAGTCGTCCGCCGTGATCAGTTGTCTGTCATGATCAATTATCCATGATCAATTTCCTGTGATCAGTTGCCCGCTCACCATAATTATATTCATACGAGATTGATCATTAGGTAATTGAATATAAATTAAATGATTAAGACGACCTAAATAAAAAACAAAAAGAAAATCGTAATTTTATAAATAAAATAAATAGTTTTTCATTTTCTTACCTGGTCGAAGTATAGCTGAATGAATAATATCTGGTCTATTGGTAGCACCAATAATAAAAACATTGTTTTTTACAAGCATAGCATCCATTTCAATTAAAATTTGATTAAAAGCACGATCAGCTGCATCACCACGAGATTTAGCTATAAAAAACAAAAACAAAAATATATTCTTTTTTTTTTAAATCTTTTTCTTACCAATAGAATCTAATCCATAAAAAAATAATACACATGGTGCTGCTTGACGAGCTTTATCGAATACATCATGTACATTAGCTTCTGATTCTTCAAACCACATAGTTAATAATTCTGGAACTTTAACCAAAATAAAATTAGCATCACATTCATTGGCCATAGCTTTTTCTAATAATGTTTTACCTAAAACAAGAAAATATTAACAAATAAAGATGAAAAAGATTTCTTTTTTTTTTTTTTTCGATGAACTTACCACAACCTGGTGGTCCATAAAAGAGAACACCACTTGACGACGTCTTATCAAATTCGAGAAATTCGTTCGGATTTGCAAAATTATATTCAATAAGTTCTTTTAATTCACGTTTAACATTTTCTAAACCATGAATATCTTTCCATGTTGTTCTTGATTTTTCAACAACTATTTCATATAAAGCTGATGGTTTTGATTGATTAAGTGCAAATCGAAAATTCTTTTTTGTGACAACTAATGCATTGAGTACTTCAACATCAATTGTATCTTGTTGTAAATCCATGACATCCATATTTTCTCGAATTTGTTGTAAAGCAGCTTTTGAACATAATGATGCTAAATCTGCACCAACATAACCATGTGTTTCATTAGCAATTTGTACAAGATTAACATCATCACCTAATTTCATATTTTTTGTATGTATACGAAGAATTTCTTCACGGTCAACAGCATTAGGAATACCAATATCAATTTCTAGATAAAAACGACGAAGTGCTGGATTAACTGAATTTGGTCGATTTGTTGCCGCCATAACAATTACATGTGAACATTGTTGAAGATCATCCATTAATGTTAATAATTGTAAAACAATACGATGTTCAATTTCATCATGTCTTTTTTCACGCTTTGGTGCAATTACATCCAGTTTATCGATGAAAATAATAGCTGGAACCTTCTAAAAACAAAAAAAAATTATTTGAATAAAAATTGTATTATAATTAATATACAGTCAACTTCTTCAATTTGTCCTCTTAATTTTCTAGAAATTAACTAGTAAATTAACTTTACCTTTTTAGCTTCTTCAAATGTTTTAGGTAAATTAGATTCAGATTCACCAGCTGATTTAGACACAATTTCCAGTCCATTGATTAAAAATAAAAATGCACCAATCTCATTAGCCACTGCACGTGCAATTAAACTTTTACCTAAAATAATTCTTTTTTTTTTTTTCTAAAAATATTTCTATTATTTTTATCATACCTGTGCCTGGTGGTCCATATAAAAGAATATTTCATGGTGGTTTAGCTCCAATTGTTTTAAATAATTGTGGGTGTTTCAATGGTAATTCAACCATTTCTTTAATTTGTACTAATTGTTTTCTAACACCACCAATATCATCATAACCAATTTCATTTAAAGATACTTCTTCTTCACGTTTAATGGGATCACCATCACAATGAATAATTGTACGTGATGTAACAATACAATACGGACTTGGTTCAGTTTTAATTACTTTAAATTCTACAGCATGCATAGCTGCATGTACAATAAAAACATCACCTTCACGTACTGGTCGATAAGGATTATCAACAAAATATGATTTTAAATAAACTTTCAATAGATTGCCTGTTATTCCTTGTACAGTATCATCAATAGGTAAAACAGATATATGTTTACCATGTTGAACATCTTTTAAACCTTGAATTGAAACAATATCACCTAAACGTGCACGTAAATTATTTCGTACAACATGATTCATTTGAATACGATTAATTGGACATAAAACACTAATGTCAATGTCACAAACTGTTTCTCGATGTTTTTCACTTTTAAGTAAAACTGTAGCACCACAAAATAATTGTAATTCATCCATTTTTTTTTGTGATAATATAACAACACTATTATCATCATTAATAGCATTATCAATAATTAAATGATTTGGACGTTCATTACGATTTAATATAGCTGTTGCATATTGATCTTCTTTATTTGGATCGACTTATTCAGCCATTTGTTTAGAATTTTTCTTTTTTTTTTTTGCAAATTCCAACCAAAAAAAACCAAAACACTATATATGATTAAATCTACAAATATAGTTTCATATAGAGACAAAATGAAAAGAAGAAAAACATATTTATTCTTGTTTTAATGCACTTAATAAAAGAGCTACACAAATAAGAACAATAAATCACTTTTTTTTTTTTTTCTAAAAAAAAGATTCGATCGTTACCAATTATCTCAACAGTAAACTTTGTCAAAATCGTGATTTTCGAAGTCCAATTGTAGACGAACGATAGGTTCTATAGATGGTCTGACTAAAAATGGTACGAGTTGGATCTCGATACTTGTGGTTCATGTTTGAACGAGTGTTTTGCGGCTTTTCGTTCTCGAGATCATTCCAACAGAAAATGACTATTTTTTTGCGTACGTCAAGTAAGTAAAAGAAAAAAAAAAGAAAACTCGCGAAGGACTACATAAATGCTCCTGCTTCGCAAGGCATTAATAAACCTTGTAATAGCAGCACGAGGTACACTAATACAAACTCTTAACCATCCATCAGTACATAGATTACACGAATGACGAAGTGAATGGTATCGTGCGATCTGTACATTCTCTTAACGTATATTTGTGTACTAACTATATGTGCTATCTATCTACACGTATATATAGGTCCTTTTTTTCTCTCTCTCTCTTCTCTTCTTTATTTCTTGTGCAATATCTATCTATTTTCTGTTTCGTACCCATGTCGAACATTTCTTTCTTTCATCATTAAAACCTCGAAATTCATATTTGATTTTTTGTTCTATCTCTTTCTCTTCTTATTGCACAGTTGGAAAAGAAGATGTCTGACCGACTTCATTTGCTCTACTTAATGTTTAAACTAAGTTCATGTGAAAGAATGTACTCAGATTATCTTTTTCGTTTTTGTTTTCTCTCTATATATATCTTCCTCAAAAAAAATAGTTTTACTCTGTATTTCTCATTTATTGTCGCTGTAAAAACATGTTTATTTAAAACTAATTATATATTCTGAAAGCCCGTGGAATTGTCTATCATCATATATATTTACTTATTTTTTTTTTTTGCATTCATTTATTGAAAAAAATAATCTGAACGTAATGAAGACACCCGTTATGTCCAGATTCCCACAGACTTGATTTTTTCTTTGTCATCAAAACTAGTTTTGACAGCTTTTCAAGAATATATTCAAACTTTAAAGAATGAATAATATTAAAATTAAACATTTCATGAAGATAAAAATGTCCATTTGAAAATCCTGCTACTAACATATGTATTTTTTGATGATCAACACAAAGAAGTAAAGCATCATGATTAGCATCTTCAAATGTTTCTTTATCATTAAATCCATAGAATAGAATAAAAACGATTTTTTTTTAAAATACAAATTGATTTATTTTTGTATTTGACTTATTCGTTCGTTTGAAAACAACCATATCATCTTTAGTTCGATTTTTCATAAGATATTCATCTAAACGTTTTTGTTTTTGCTAAAAGTTTAATTCGTTTTCGTTCAACAACATCATCTAATTCTTCATTATCATCATCATTTCTATCAATATGACCATTTGATGATGTCTGAATTTCTTAATTATCATTTTCATCAGGTATATATGATATTGATTCCATAGATGCTAAATCCATATCAGTAGTCCAATAATTGACTTTTGCATTTTTACAAACAGTCATTATCTATATTAGAAGAAAAACAATATCATTTGAAAAATAAAGACAATTATGGATGTACATTCAATGAATCTTGTTCAAAAAAAGTGCCGACGATTTCACAAACATAACTAACTAATATAAATCGATATAGTTTATCTAGTAAAGAGACACTAAATATTTTAGTTGTCATATCTGCCCTAATAACGGTCAGAATACTATGAAACAAAAATGATTTACTTTGGTTTTATTTTTATGAAAGAAAAATATAACATAAGGAAAATCACTTGTCCAATTGATAAATGTTATTTTATCATGACATGAATGAAGAATAAATTTTAATGTAAACAAATTGAATTGACGATGAGTACTAGGACAAGTATAGAATTCATAGCGATTACTACGACAAACAGCTACAGATCTATAATATAAAAATTTTTCTTATGTCAAAAATTTATTAGTAAAAATTAAAGCTTGTTTAAATCTTAAATAAAACTTTCATTGACAATTCATCTACACTGTTAAAATAAATTCGAAACGGACAAATAATATTACTTCTATATTAAAAGAATTTTTAAAGTATTATACAATAGATTTATAATATCTAAATCATCAATATTATATTTACTTGAAATCAAGACTGAATTCGATTGTACGAATATCATGTCCAAAACGATGAATACCAATCAATCTACGACATTTGACATTGTATAAATATTCTCGACCAGCTGTGTAAAAATACATGAAATATTTTTGAAATTAAAATAATCTAACTCTTACTCTCGTTAGTAATAAGTAAGAGTGCATCATTAGATGAGAGAGTTGAACAAATAGTATTAAATTCACTTTCAAATGATAATGTTTCTGATCGATCACTAAAATAAAATATTGATTTTGATCAACAATTAATCATATACAATATATTTTTAAATCGATCATATTCACTCGATTACCAACTGATATGATAAATGCATTACTATCTGGTATAAAGAGAAGATTACTCTTGTGATAGACAATAACAAGAAGAATTAAGAATTAACATATAAATAATGAAAGAGAATCAATTGAAAAACAAAATAAATATTCTTAACGACACCATAAATTATTATCAAGATCAGCTGTATAATCACGTATATAATCAGCATGTTTACAGACATTCTAAAAGGAAAAGTCGTTTTTTAATAAATGAAATCGAAAATGTCGTTCTATTTTTTTTTTTGTTATATACATACACCAAATCGTTCATTGTATGTCATATTATCCATAAGAGTAGTTTTCGTATTGATTTTCCTTGCTTTTTTACTTGGTGGTTCATCAATGTTATCTTCATCATTGCCAGGTACTTCTTGTTCATCATCATTATTCATTTCTTCTTTAGATATATCCAATGCTAGTTCAAAAAAAAAAAAAAATTTATTCGAAAATTAGTTATTATAAACTGTTACGTTCATTAACAAAACATTAGTTGAAAGAACTTTTTTTTCTATGACTTTGGTTACCATTTAATCCTAGTTTTATGAATGGCAAATATGATAGGGAAGTCGCTTTGGAGTTTAGATTATGTATATAGAGTAGGTCCCAGAGCCCCAACCAGGCCACTAGGCCTGCCTGTCACAGGCACAGGTCACGATTTTTAGGCCTGGCCTGTCACAGGCAGGCCAGGCCGACCCCTTCGACAGGCCAGGCAGGCCGCCTAAAAATGCCAGGCCGCCTGGCCTGTCTAATTTTTCTTCGATATAAAACTTTTACCGCATAATTGGGATTTATTGCTAGAAAAAAATTCAGTTGAGTCAGTTTTCAAGAATGATATTTGAATATAAAGAATTTGACCAATACTTGAGAATAAATATTGACGATATATATAAATGATCAAATCTATTACTAATATGAAAAGGTTATTACCATAATGAAGAGGTTCAATAAGTAATGGAACCTCTACCCCTCGAAAAATTTGCTTTTTCCTACCCAAAATTAATTGAGAAGGGTTTCGAAAGTGATCTCTGGTAGAATTAGGTCTGTTACTCCTCTTTGAGCTACACTCAGGTCGTTTGAAACAATCAATTAGTGTATTATATCCCATTGTCGATGATAATTAGATGTATTTAGCCATCAATATGATAGTCGGCTATATTGATTTTCATATAGTTTGATAGAAATATTTAAGTGTTCTGAAATGCTAGTAACACGTTAAAAGAAAGGAACTAACCATTAAAAAACGTCCAAGAAAAACTTCAGCGGACTTTATTTTAAGTACATTTCTTGACTGATATTTCGCTAGTTTTGATTAGAGGAAGTAAAGTCTGGATAAAAACTAAAATCATCTATATAGACCGGCATTTAGTATTAAGTTGACTTATGTGAATTTGGAATCTGTTTATGAACTTTTTTCGTAGAAAATCACTCTAGTCCTGCTCAGAATCAAGTCGAAAAATGAGTATCGACAAAAAAGTGTATCAGTAGTTTAAGCAGACGCCATGTTGTGCTATAGTGTTATTGTGCAGCTGTAGAAATTTTTTCTCGTGCTGAAACAACTTTTCGATGTGATTCTCTTTTTAACTTAACCCTGGGGATCTGTGATGATCTATTCCACGAAAAAAATCAATGAAAATATTGAAAAGTCACAAAAGTCGTCTCAGCGTTAAATACTAATTCATAACATGACCTTAGCTTTGATCCAAATTATACTTCTTCTGATTATAATCTACGAATATATCAATTAAAGACATTCACAATTATGTCTGGGGACAAGTTTTCATTGGACATTTTTCAGTAGTCAGTTTGCTTTTTTTCGATATGTTGTTGGCATTTCAGAGTTCTTAAAAGCTTTTATCAAACTACACGAAAATTAGGCGAATTGACTATCATAATGATGGTTAAATCGACCTGATTATCATCAATAGTCGGATATAATATACTTATTCATTATTTTAAGTGATCCAAGACAATGTAAATAATCGCCATAGAGCCAATTTCACCGCCCATCACTTTCGAAACACTTGTGAAATGGTTTTACGTAGAAAAAACCAAATATTTCGAGCGAATCAGTTTTATTATTGGATGATTCGTCTTTTCTATTTGTCACTATTTGCTCCAGAAAATGTTTGAGTCTCAGCTAGTTCAGCTGAAGCTGAACGTTTTCTTTGTATTAAATTTGGTAGCTACTGCACGTAGTCCTTCTCTCGATTGTGGTACTATGAATGACATTTTTGTCTACCAGATCCATCCAAAATATTCTCGAACAAGAACAAGATTGTTTTCCTGCATATTGGTATCGTTTTATTTCTTTAGTTTTCTAGATACCAATGCTTTTCAATTCATATTAAACGTAGAGAAAAAATCCATACTGTCAACACCTTTATAATGTGCGCACCTCCCTATAGTGAACAGTTTTAGTTGGCTTTGAGTAGTTTCTGCTCGAAATCGGTGACTTCCTAATGAAAGCCTCCTTATAATGATATATAAATGTTTGTTTTCTGACTTTGACCTACTACAAAAAAAAGTGTCTGACGATAGCGATTTTCGTTCGACTTCTGTTCTCATATACTCTGATGTATATATCAGAAGGGAACATCTCTGTATAATGAACACTGAAATACACCCATATTCAAAAGGTTCCCGGACTGTTTTTATTTCATAAAAATGAAATGAACTACACTCATGAGTTTATATTTTGGGTATGAGGTGTGGGTGTAGGTGTAAGTCTAAAAGAATACCAGACTTACACCTACACTCACACCTACACCCACACCTCACACCCAAAATATAAACTCATGAGTGTAGTTCATTTCATTTTTATGAAATAAAAACAGTCCGGGAACTTTTTGAACATGGGTGTATTTTATTGAATGTTCACATCAGGAAACTTTTATTTGTATCATCTAAATTGATTCTATTGACTTGTTGAACTTTCTACGATGATTAATGCTAAATTATATCTTATTATTACTATGATATTTGATTTAAAAAAAGTAGACAGGCCTTGCCAGGCAGGCCGAGCGAAACGACAGGCAGGCAGGCCAGGCCGAAGAAAAAAGATGACAGGCACAGGCAGGCCGGGATGG